GGTATATTTAAATATTTAAATGTATATACATACATACATACATACATACATACATATATACATATATATATATATATATATATAGAAGTAAAGCGCAAGTACACACATCCCATACTTTGCTCGTCCCGGGCACTAGCTTCCACACCATCACCGTCGTGTCTTTGGACCCCGTCAGGAGTATCTCGTGGTTATCCGACAGTGTCAAGCACGTGACACCATCGGTGTGCACACGGACATTCTGGAGCAACCGAGCGCCACCTGAATGCTCATAAGAAACGCAATTGAAATGCGTACGGAGTTTTGAGAAAGGCAAAAAGTAGACGTGTACATTCTGAAGAACGCAAGCACTAGCGTGGTTCCCATAACAAGTTGAAGGAAGAAGAAAAACAATACGGGTACTTCTACAAAGCACCGACATACTAGATCCAACAAGCGCCACCTGAGAACCTTAAAATGCGCACTTCTGATGGATAAGATGTACCTACCTACCTACCTACCTGATACTTGAAGCGACATACTAACGTGCACCGTTCTTGACGTAATAAAGGACCAATATAGTCACAGTGGAATAGTGTGGAGCCCTAGGGCCCACTCCCGTTACATAATTTCACTACGCAACTGTGCAACTGTTGATATAGCCTTGGTACCATCGAGGCAAATATACATTCACGAACCCACTAGGCATTCGATCTACCTACTGGGCTCCAGATCTACCTACCTAGATAGTTCAGGGAGTAGCACTGGAATGACCCGTCCCACGACCCACAGGTCCACAGCACTGCAGCCGTCTGTTTGCTCTGGATGTACCGACGATCACCGATCACAGCGAAGCACTGCCTGGACAACGACTGGTGCGCGCGCATTCGGATATTGGCCCCTACTCTTCTTTGGGCTGGATTGTGTAGATGGTGAGTATAGGGATAGCAGCCATTAGTGGTAGGGTTTAGGGTTAGGGTTTTATATGGTGCGGTGCGATATATATATATATATATATATATATGTACATATATATATATATAAATATACATATACACTCTCTCTCACACACACACACACACACACACACACACACATATATATATATATATATATTATATACATATATATATTATATCAGCCAGAGTACCTAAGGGGATGCCCTTTTGTAAGAAGATTGTATTGAAAAGCAGGTGTATTTGGGTTGGGTTTGTAGACGGTGAATATATGAATGGTATCCATTTCATAGTGAATAATATAGCATCAGGGTGCGGCGTGATATATATATGTACCGTATATCAGTTAGACAGAGTACCTAAGATGCTGTCCTTTTCTATGGAGACCGTATTGAAATGCAGCAGGTGATGTGGTATGTATCCCTACATACAAGTCGATCTACTACCCCCCACACAACCGATCCCTTTGTAATTGACTGAGGTAGACCGCTTGGGTGAGTAAGGGTGACAGCACAGTACATTCACAGCCTAGGCTGGTCGCGACACCTGTCGTGTCGATTGAGACCGTTCCGACTATACCATCATAGTCATTGAGTTACAAAGCTCCATTTATTTACATCATCACAACACATACATACGACATGTGACTATCAATACCAGGCCAAATAGTAGCCGACATAGTCAACACGCACCTCATCCAATACAAACATGCACTTGAAAGTTGACTGATATCGAATTCGAATTCTGTTCGCCTTTGGACAACCCACAATCAATGGTGGATCTTCATCCGATGCATCGGGATGTGCTTCTCCACTACCTAAAACCCTAAACCTCTAAAAAGACACCCATACCCACACAACCACTAATATCATACCAAACACCTACACTATTCCCATCTATAACCTCCATATACTCACCAGCATAGTCCGCCTGCGCCAGGGCCGGGTCCAGCGTAAAGGTAGGCTTATACCCCATATACCGTGGTGTGCTCTTACCTAGACCCACAGTGCCGCGGAAGCTCGAACTGTGCTCCCCACCCACACCCACTCCGTCAACAGACATGACCCGCTTGAACTTACGCCCACTCACAGGTGACGAGGGCGGGTTGCTTTGATTGGACTGTTGCTTGTGCAATGTGGGTTTACCTATCCCGACACTGCTGCCACCCTCGTATCGCTGGCTCTTAGTCCGGTTGGGTGTCCCGCGTGTGCCAGATAGTGGACTATTACCGAGCTGTTTGCCGGTAGATGATACTGGGCTCCCCGGAGCCTGGTCCGTCATATTCTTGTGCACCGGGGGCGGGGTACGATGGGAGACCTTGGTGTCTTTGTGTATGTCCTTGTTTGTCCCCTTGTCCGGATCCCTGTACGACTCGTCTCGGTCGTGTGATGCGTGTGATGCGGTGGTGGTGGTTGTGAGGAGAGTGTGTATGCTGTAACACATGCTGTTGGTGATGCTAACGATGATGTCTGTGCTGCTGCTGGGTTGTCCAGTCTCAGATATGTTCTCGGCTGCACCACCTGAATTAGCTGCTGTATTTGGGAATTACGTCCATTTTTGTCAGCACGTTCCTGTTTGAAGTACGCGATTTCGGCGTCGAATACCAAGTGTGTTGGGGTGTTGTATACGTTCTTGTCCGCATCACTTCGCATACAATACGGGATACTAATAAATTTAAATATCTAATTCAAATTAAATATACATAGTATGGCATAAAGATAATATTGTAAGCACCAAACTCGGGGCGAAATCCGGCAGATCAGTGGATCACGCGGTAACTCGGTCAAATGAGTGCCCGAGAAGTAGAAACATGGCTGTGCTAGATATTAGGGCACAGGCCTATACTTCTATCAGTGAGGAGGTATAGCTAACAGATATACATACACATACACACATCCACGTCCGGTAACCTTTTCGGCCAACACGTTGCATCACTACTGCTGATATGTGCGGAGGGGGTCTTATACCCAACGCACAATAATCAAGACTGGTTACCCCAAAATAGGTCATATTATATTGATACTAAAAATTTAATAAATGCCACCAGGTGTACCAGAAACACCCGGCAACTCACAACATACCCGTCGCAGCACTGCCACTGATATGGACGGAGGACCCGGTGGTTAGCGTTGCAGATTTCGAATGCAGGCACATGATAGGCGAGTTGCCTATACGCAAGACCATCTCCATGGCAACGGGCGCGGTTGTGAGATGGGCCAGGCGCTTGTGGTTCCACGTCTTGGTCCTCTTCTTGTTCTTCTTGGGGTTTGAATTACTAATTGAACTGCTGCTTAGGGAATGGTGCAGATCCCGGGGTCGATTTCCCCCCGATTCTGATTGGTTGCTATTTATAGACACGGTCTGGTCTCCGTGCTCTTGATTTTTGTTGTTGTTGGTGTTGTTGTTGTTGCTTATGTCTTCAGCAACCGCGACGGCGCTCTCACTCTTTGTCCTCTGCCGCCGAGGACCCGCGGGATTCGGCGTTCTATTTTTATCTCCGCTGCTCTCATTACCAGCACCGGCCTTACTCCCGGTCCGCGTGATCGTGGCGGCAGATCTGGGTACCGAACTGTCACCCGGTAACACATTGTTGCGAGGCGGGTGAGGGTCCGAAAGTAATTGGGACGGGGTCTGTCCGAAGCTGACAATCTGAGCTTCCACGCTCATGCGCTCCACCGGGTCGGCGATGGTGGTCACGTCCACAGCACCCTCGTATGTCAGCGGGTAGAAGACGTTGTGTGCCTTGACGGCCTCGTCACCCAGTTGCTTGTACCTGTGTGTGGGTACAGAGTGTGTGAGAGTGGACAGTGTAGTGTGTATGGGTGGATCGCCCGAGCGCCCGGCCATCACGGCCACACGCACACAGTCGTATCTACATACTCAAACGACTGGTGTGGCCATACCTACACACTCAAAATATCGACAAACCAGTGTATAGGTCAAAGCTAACACTCACCCGAACACTAGGTCGATCCACAGGTGCAGGTTGGCAGACACATAGTCTGACTCTAGGGCTTCCCGATGAATACGCATGAACGTGTAGGGATCCCCATTGGCCCATGGGGGCAGTTCCACATCGCGCAGGGGCCGTCCATCCTCCATGGTACCCAGGTCGTAGTTGTTGCTGTTTATCTGATAGGCGTGTTAACTGGGTATGTTAGCTAAGTTGATATAACTGGGTAGGTTAGTTGGGTTGATATAGCTGAGTATGTTAGTTGGGTTGATATAACTTAGTATGTTAGTTGGGTTGATATGTGGAATAGCTGAGTAAGATAGCCTGACACGCGTGCATTCTGTGTTCCTATCGATCTGAAACGTGTGTGATAGCTGTTATTGTCCGTCTGCTACGTCCAGGTTAGTCATTGGAGTTGGTCCACTACGTGTGCCACAGCTGCTCTTAGTATGAGATATACGTGTGTTTGGTATTGTGTACCTGACAATGTATCGGGTGTCAATGTTTAGTGTGGCATATTTCTATTCATTGATAGCACGAATCTACCTTTGCGCACAAGCTGGTTGTGCTTGATTGAACATAGCGTATCAGGTGCTATTTTTGGAATGACATGCGTGTATTGGTTGTTATTAATAGCGTGTGAACCGGTGATATTATTCGTTATTCTTCAGCTAACACATACCAAGCGTGCAGATAAACCACCGTCAATCTTAACGAGTATGAGTAAGTGAAACCCTTAATCTTAAAACCCTAAACCCTAAGCCCTAAAACCCCCTAACACTCAACCACATACTAATAACTCAGGTAGATAGAACATCTCGGGGATGAGCTCTCGCACGTCTGTTGTGCTGGTGAGACAGTTGTTCCACGCTCTCTGCACACAGGAAAACATGCGCTCGGGATGATCGAACTTGCCGCCCTGAGTGTATAACATAATTAATTGTATGGGTGTTGGTACTGATGAGGTGTTGGGTAGCGAGATGGGACCACTCACACTCTGAGTGTAGCATGAGCACACACGTGTTGGTACTGATGGGGGTTTGGCGAGCGAGATAGAAAAATTCCGATGTGATACGTCACAGTCGGTATCAATCGTAACATACGCTCATGGATAGACACGATTCCCTAGCCAGCACAGTATATACAAACACACATACGTTACATTACATAGATACATCGATACATAAAACTGTGAGCGAGAACCCATACCTTAACACTCACCTAAATACTTTACTATCCGTTTCAAAACCCGAAATCTACGAGAGAGAAAGAGAGACAGAGGGATATAAACAAAAAAGCATATGTATAAAACACACAGGTACCTGCAAATCTAAAAATAGCGTCGAGAAGGGCTCGATACGGATGAGCCAGGTCAGCACATAGCCGCCTGTGGAGTAGTGTGACCCGTAATGGAAGGCCGGCGTATCAGGATCATCCCACATATCGTATCTACCAATGCAAGAGTGAACATATACCACGTGAGATGCGGTATGAAAGCCATAGAATTGTATAGGGTTATTAATCAGGCGAGTCATGTCATATATACAGATGTTGTTCATATGACCCACACACACACACGTATATATATATATATATATATATATATATACT